TGGGGGTTGTGTGGGAAAATCTTTTAGCGTTTAGACTTTTTAGTGAGATGAGGGTTTTAGTTTCCCAAAGTGTTGGGGGGTTATGTGAAATTTACCCATAAAAGAGCTCTCTGTTTCGCTTCGTCAATCTCCTCCACTCACTCAGCTGTTGTCCCTTCTTGACAGTTACAAACAAATTATAAGCAACCCTATGGCCATCAAAGCTAGCACCAAGTTGCTGAACAAATCCATTAAGGGGGGAAAAAGCCCCATCTCAACTATTATACTATCAATTGCGCATTAAGTTTGCTTACTGCGATGCCCGCAATGTGTTTGTGGAAATGCATCTATGAAACCAAACAGACAGATTCTACAAAGTGCAACTTTATAATTAAAATGTGGGTTATCTTGATTCAAAAATTGTGGGCTATTATTGATTTCAGTAGGAGCGCCCAGTTAGGGAAAAACTAACTATATTTTCCGTGCTCTTGTTGATGCGCTTATTACAAAATGAACCGAGAAGAAGACTCCTTGTAATTGGGTATGTAGAGATGTACTCAATATGACTCCACAATTAGTCTCCTTATGCAATGCTCTCGACTTGTTGTGAAATTGCTTCTATGAGACCAAAGTGGCATAATGAATTCTACAATCTGCACTTTATAACCAATTATGTGGTTTATAGAGACTCATAATTTGTTTTCTATGGATTTCAGGTATTCATTCAGCCATTTCATGGTCCATTACCAAATATATCAGCGGCTGCTTCCAGAGAAGGAAGCATACAACACTGATCGAGCTGATATTCATTGTTTTCTTGGTATGGTACATGGGTTACTTTCATCTTGTATAGAAGTTCATAACAGTGTACACATCCATTTGCAGAAACGTGGTAACTCCAAAATCTTATCCAACTATTGGAGGTTCAGATATTTGGCGAGATCATCCCACATAGGATTCTGGGCCTTGCATAGGCATCTCTTTAACTTTTGGAATTCAAATCATTCTGCACTAGCTGAGTTGCAATGTTTAGAGGCATGTCAATGCTTGTCACACCACCATTTATTTGTCCTACATGGGGAACTTATGAAAGTATGTATGGGTTTATAAGGTGAGTCATGAGAACCAATTGCAAAAATAGCAAGTCATTTTTGGCAGTGGTTTGAAGCAAAAACTCTTAGTGGGTCCCAGGGCTTATATGGCACAACTGGCTTGTAGACCCAGGGTATATGACATTGCTTGTAATTTTTATGTTTCAGACAAGCATGATTTATGATTCTTTACTACACATTGAAAGGGTAGAAGCTTACTTTGTGATTTGGAGATGCCAATTGCAGAAGCTTCATTTTTGGCATTTCGGAATCCGGGGTGCAAATCTAACATACTGAGTTAAAACATAGCATCAATCCATATTCTTGAGCCCTAAAGGTAAGTTTAAATGCCAAGCCAGTAAACTAAACCTATCCTTGAGTTGTACATTGTTCATGGGTTGTTTAGATTACTTCGTATCATTTGGAATGAACCATCAAATTAGGAGTTAAAAGCTCAGCCAAAGGTAATGTACATTTTTCTTAATCAATTTTCTAGGTAAACAACAATAATATACAGTTTATGTTTGTGTACATCTATAACATAGTGATATGCTCAGAGTTGGATTTGGTGGAGGGTCAATTCTAACGAAATTCCTCTTTAGTTCAATTGTATTTTCCATCCCAAGTCGAACTTCAGATCATCTTCTGACAATATAACCATGACCTTGTTTCAGCATAAATTGAACTCTAGAGGCTAGATCTCTTGCACGGATTCAGGGTACTTTGGTAAGTGTACTGTGGTGCACTTTGAGCACTGTTTTTTTAAGTACCATATTTATAATGCTTGTAGCATTACCAGCAAACTCAAAACTCTAGTTCAAGCCTTAATTCTTTGGTCTAACTTTCGATTGTTTAACGAACATAGTGTCATATCTTTGTCTAATTTGACTTTACTGTTTATTTTTTTCCATTGTCTAAGACTACTTGACATTAACTGCCATCTGGATTTTCTTTCATCTTTACTTCTTATATGGAGACAAACTGTACATAAAACAAATGCAACATCCATGACAAATATAACAAACCAGTAATCACTAACTACCTTGTTTGGCTTATTTGGAAGTGTTCAATTGAGAAAGAAACTACAAAAAAGATTGTGAAAAATATTGGTTTGGTCTTTTGTACTTATTATGAGATTGCCGTGCAAAGTAAAACTCTATATGATAGGCTCTGGAAATTCCAATGAGTTTCTAAGATAAATGAAAAGAAACATGTTTTCTTGTTAGAGACAGCCTGAAAAGGCAACTTCTGGAGTTTTATGGGATATTTCTGTATTTATTTTTTCTAAACAATTTACTATGGGCTGAGAGCCATTAGGTTTTAAAGCTATTTATCAAAGCTTAAAAGATGTTCTGCATTTGCTTTGTTTCTTTACATTTAATTTTTCTTTTAAGGTGAAGTGAGATTCCTTTTCTGTTCTCTGGAAAAATCTTACTCAATTTTTTGAGATTGAATCCACCCATTTCTTGTAGAAAAAAAGGAAGAAAAATTTCTGAGTTTTGCTTGTGTTATATCAGGTAAGTTTGGCTTTTTTTCATTTATCGAACAGCTTGTTTTTGGTTTTTTCTATGTAGAAGATTTCACAAAAGGACTGAACACTTCCTACATCTGAGCAAAGAATTAGTTAGCTAGAACTAAAACCTAATTTAAGCTTCTTAGGTGGATTTCACATATTTGTTATCACTAATTTACTTGTTGAAACCTGTTCAAACGTTAATGGAGCAGTTTATCAGTGGTTTTGTGCAATGAGATAAAAGAGGTCGAACATCAGATTTTTGTTTTTCCTTTTACCTTTTTGATAAGTTAGTAAGCAAAAAAAGAAGGAAAAGAAGCAATATAAGTAAAGAGAAAAGAAAGGTTCTCACATGAAGCCCTTAGAAAAGCTTCAAAGCTTCAGGCAGAAACAGAAGAGTTTCAGGTTCGGAGTCTTGGAAAAACAACAAAGCTTTCAAGAAAAGAAGAGTAGGGACAGTGCCGGAAAGCGAGGGGACACTCAACTTCATTTGGCTGCAAGGACTGGCAATGTAGTTCATATTGAGAGAATTCTTTCACAGTGTGATCCCTATGGCCTGAGGGAACTGATATCGGCACAGAATCAAGATGGAGAGACTGCACTCTATGTTGCTGCAGACAATGGGCATAGTGGGGCTGTTTGTGAGTTACTGAAAGCTTCAGATATTCAGTCTGCTTCTCTAAAAGCAGACAATAGTTATGACTCGTTTCATATTGCAGCCAAGCACGGGCATCTAGGTAATTCAATCTCTTTCTTATGATAGTTAATTCTGCCTGTTTTTCAGTTCACATTTATGTTCATGTAAGTTAGGTCCTGAATCAATTGTTGCGGAAGATCATTATGAATTTTCATCTTGATAGTTATCTATCTACAGTTCTGGAAATCTGAAGACATATTAAGTCTTTTGTTTCCAAATAAGAACGCAATTCTAGAAGAGTTTTTTTTTTATTTCAATAACAGCAAAGGCCTGGGCCTAAACTTTGTTGAGAGTACAGTATAATTGATTTATAAGGTGGGAGAATAGTGGGGAATGGTTGGGTAACTGAGTGAGAACAAAGTAGATTTGCATGGGGTCATCCGCGTCTATGCAGCGACAGATGACCAAACCATAACTCCACTAAACATTAAGCACTGTATCTTCGGCATGAGTTGAAAATGCGCTCATTGCGTTCTGTTAGATTATAAAATTATAGACCATACCTCTCACCTATAGTTTTGATGCAGTGGAAGTGATCTTTAACATGGCATCTGAACGAACCATGCTTAAATCCAAATCATTACCCTCATGATAAGACAATAGTTGCTAGAAGAACTAATCCTACTTTTTTTTTATACAGAAAGAATATAGCTATCTGTGGTTGTAAGAAAACATTCTCAAATTATAAATTCTTTATAACCTTTCTACTTTCCTGTGACCTGCAGAAGTCTTGAAGGAGCTCTTGCATTGTTTCCCCTCATTAGCTATGACTACCAACTCATCAAACTCTACAGCGTTGAACTCTGCTGCTAGTCAAGGTCATGAAAGTGTTGTCAATCTCTTGTTAGAAACAGATGCAAGCCTTGCCAAGATCACAAGGAGCAATGGGAAAACAGTCTTGCACTCAGCTGCAAGGATGGGACACTTAGAAGTGGTGAAATCAATTTTAAGTAAGGACCCGAGCATTGGTTTGAGGACCGATAAGAAGGGTCAGGCGCCAATTCATATGGCAGTGAAAGGAAATAATGTTGAAATTGTTCTGGAACTTCTAAAAACTGAAATTTCTGTCATCAATATGGAAGATAACAAGGGGAATACACCATTGCATATTGCAACGAGGAAGGGCCGTCCTGAGGTTTGTAAAATGTTGAAGATAATCTGGTATTTTTTTATAGCGACATTATTTCCTCAGTTTAATTCAAAATTTTAACATGAAAATATGTAGTCCTTGCACATTTCTTAAGCTATCTGTAGAAGTTTTAGTGAACATCTGCAATTGTCTGTCATTTTGTTGCATCATTGTTTTCATCATTTCATGTAAATCAAATTTATGTATATGTGACACATGACTAAAGAGCATAAATTCATTTTTGAGTAAAGGCAAAAATCTAATAATTGTTGATGATACATGCATATCATATGAGTGAACTATGATTCTTAGACAGATGCGAATGTCATACTATGACATGGACAGGGGTTTGTGAAACTGGCAATGGTCCAAAGTCCAGATGTGATAATATGGCTATATATGCATGTTTCTTATGAATATATCTATATGTGACGCACATAAATATATGTATCATGCTGTTCTTCATATAAGATAGAACTTAATTTCAGCAAAATGATCTATAAAAAATAGCTTGTGTATTTCACCTTAATATATGTTGACATATTAGTATAGTTAAGGGGCTTATTTGTAAGATGTGTTTGTAGGGCCTATATAAGTCCATATTATCTTATCTATGGAATTAGGGTTTCATATATTTTCTACTTAGTATCAGAGCCTCCACCCAAACCCTAGCCGCCGCGAGGAGCTTGTTCGATTCCCTCGACATTTCAGTCCTAGAACTGATGAGAGGAAGAGTGTATATCTCACGGTGTTGAGATATATCACTGTCGATTCTTGTTTCCTTTGAGAAACAAGAATTTAGTTAAAATCTAACTCTTGTTGTGCAGCAAAAGTACTGTCGAAATTTTTCACTGCACACAACAAGAGTTAGAAGAGAAGGAGGACAGGTGCTTGATCTAGAGCCTGGTCGATGGAGGAGATCATCAAGAAGTTGAACCCCGCGGAGATCTCAACTTTGATGCAGTTGATGAAGTTGTCGGCTGGTGAGCGCGCGACAAGACCACCGACGAAGTTGAAACTTTCACCCATCGATCTGAAGCTCGATGGACCGGCTACTTACCTGAGCTGGTCACGACGGGTAAGATACACCCTTGCGGGGAGGAACTTGAAGGGATATTTGACAGGAGAGAAGACAAAGCCGGCTGAGGGCTCGGCAAAAAGAGATGAGTGGAAGTCCACTCATATATTGGTGTACATCTGGCTCCTCAACTCATTTGTCCAGTCAATCGTCGTCACAGTGGATGACATTAAGAAGGTGAAGGATGTCTGGGAGATGTTGAGGAGGACCTATGATGGAGTAGGGAATAACCTGAGGGTGTTCCAGATCAAGGGAGAGATTGACGCCACAGTCCAGAGAGAAAAGACTATACAGGAGTATGCTACAGAGTTGGAGCGCCTGTGGCTAGATTATGATCATTTCTCACCTCGGACGAGCTGTAAGGACCCAGAGTGTAAAAAGCGAGAGGCTTTTTTACAGGAGAGGACTATGGTGTTTCTCAAGGGGCTGACATCGGAATTTGCTCAGAGAATTACGTTACTGCTAGCTCAGCCAAAAATTCCCATACTTGAGGAGGCAGTCTCAGCCATGATCCAGGAGGAGACTCGCATTAAACTGCAGGCGGGGATAGGTGAACTTCCTGTGATGAAGTCAGCACTGACGGCCTCTAATTCTGGCAACACTGGACCCAAGAGGGAGACTCGGCAGTGCTACAACTACGGTGAAGTGAGTCATCTAAGGCATGCTTGTACCAAGCCACCCAAGGAAGGAGATTCGGGTGAACGTAGACAGTTCAGAGGTCGTGGTCGTGACCGTGGGGGTCGATGAGGTGGAAGAGGAGCAGACAACCGGGCGAATCTGATGGTCGCAGAGGGAGAGGAAGCAGGTGAGGTGGTCTTTACTGATGAGGATCATGCTCTCCTGGAGATACTCAGGAGGAAACAGAGAGTAGCAGGAGATAGAGACAGGAGGAGTGGGACTGAGGAGGCATCCATTTCATTCTTCGCCAGAGGCAACACTGCTACTTATGCTCATCCGACCAAAGGTACTGATGACATACATGTTCTTGCTTCTATATCTACCGATAGATCATCAAAGTGGATAGTCGATTCCGGTGCGTCTCGACATGTGACAGGTAATGCTAGTGAGTTCTCATCATATACTCACTTAGTATCGGCTGACAGTATCCAAACAGCTGATGATACTTTTCAGCCAGTGGTTGGTAAGGGTATAGTCAATTGTATAGGTTCTGTAACTTTATTCAATGTTTTGCATGCTCCTTCCTTTCCAGTCAATCTTTTGTCCATTAGTGCTATCATACTCCAACTAAAATGTATTATTTCTTTTGACATTCCTAAGGTGATCTTCCAGGAGAAGGGGACAAGGCGGAGACTTAGGACTGACACATGATGTAGTGGACTGTGGTACCTGGATCGTGAAGGGCTGGACTCAGCATTGGTATCTATGGTAGAGAGAGCAGGAGTAGGATCTGAGATGAGTGTTGAGAGTATGTTGATGTTTCATCACCAGCGTTTGGGACACTCATCCTTTAGTGTTTTAAGTAGATTGTATCCATCTCTATTTGAGTAAGCAAATAAGCAGAACCTTGTGTGTGATGCATGTGAGTTTGGAAAGTTTACTATAAGTTCTTATGTAAGTTCTGGTCATAGGAGTTCTCGTGCATTTGACCTGATACATTCAGATATTTGGGGGCCTTGTTCCACAAGTTCTATGAATGGATACAAGTATTTTGTTACCTTTATTGATTATTTCTCTCACGTTACTTGGTTATACTTGATGAAAAATAAGAGTGAAGTGTTTGGTTGCTTTTAAAACTTTCATAGGTATGCTCAGACTCAATACAGCGCTGTGGTGAAGGTATTGAGTTCTAATAATGGGACAGAGTATACTAACAAAGCGTTTGGAGAATACTTGTCAGCTCAGGGAATACAACACCGGACTACATGCCCATACACACCAGCTCAGAATGGGGTAGCGAAAAGGAAGAACAGACATCTTTTAGAGGTTGCTAGAAGTATGATGATCTCCAAGAATGTCCCAAAAATATTATGGGGGCAAGCAGTGTTGACCGCAGCAGCACTAATCAACAGAATGCCCTCGAGAGTACTACATTGAAAGTCTCCGTGTGAGACGTTGAAGGAAGATAATGGTGGACTTCTTCCACTCAAGGTGTTTGACTGTGTGTTCTTTGTGAAGGATAACAGGCCATCCGTCGGGAAGCTTGTCCCTAGAGCGGTGAAATACATCTTTGTGGGATATCTGCTACTCAGAAGGGATATGTTTACTGAAGCCCGGTGGAAAAAAGGTTGTTTGTGAGCATGGATGTGCACTTTCGAGAACTCGAGCCATATTACACCCAGAAGGTAACTTCATCCATTGGTAACTCGCCTAATACTGGAAGTATGAGGCGAGAGGAGGAGAATGGTGAGAGATCGGTGAATGTGGAGAAATCAATTTCTGTAACGATTCCTTAGGAAGGAGAATTGGTTGAGGAGGAGCAGGAGAATGGAGAAGAAGAGGAGAATGAGACAAGAGGTGTTAGACCCACAGCTCAGGGGGAGCTACTTACCTATAGTAGAAAGGGGAAACAAATTTCGGGAACAGTACCTACAGTGTCACTGGTGCCAAGTCCCTTGCCAACACATGTCCCGACTCCTGAGACACCTACACTACCACCATATTCTTCTCAAGGTGATATCATTCCTCTCCTCACTCCTCCCACACCAATGTCTGTACGGAGGACTACTCGTAGTAATGCGGGAAATCCTCCCGATAGATATGGTTGGGATCTTGTTCAGTTTGTATCATATTCTAACATCCACCCTGCACATGGAGCATTCATTGCATCACTGGACTCTGTTACTATACCTAACAATTGGCAGGTTACAAAAAAGGACCCAAAATGGAAAACTGCTATGCACGAAGAGCTAGGGGCCCTTGAGAAGAACCGTACTTAGGAGTTAGTAAAACTACCAAAAGGAAAGAGAACAGTTGGATGCAAGTGGGTCTTTACTGTGAAGCAGAATCCAGACGGACAGGTTGAGCGCTACAAAGCTTGTCTGGTGGAAAAAGAATATAGTCAGACATATGGCATTGACTATGATGAGACTTTTACACCGGTGGCGAAGATGAGCATTGTTTGGACCTTGATCTCCCTGGCAGTAAATGGTGGATGGAAGCTACACCAATTAGATGTGAAGAATGTATTTCTTCATGGAGATCTGATGGAAGAGGTATACATGGAAATTCTACCAGGATTTGACACAGATCAGACAGTAGGCAAGGTCTGCAGATTAAAAAAGTCTCTCTATGGGCTGAAGCAGTCTCCCCGTGCTTGGTTCGACAGATTCAGGAGGGCTATGCTAGGTATGGGATACCAGCAGATTAACGTCGATCATACCGTGTTCTTTCGACAAAATGAAGGCCACATCACCATGCTTACGGTATATGTGGATGATATGATTATTACAGGGGATGATGAGAGGGAGATTGCCCAACTCAAAGTGAGACTGGGTAAGGAATTCGAGGTGAAAGATCTTGGCTTGCTTCGATACTTTCTTCGAATAGAGATAGCTCGAGGAGCGGAGGGGATTATCCTATCCCAGAGAAAGTATGCACTGGATCTTCTCAAAGAGACAGGGATGTTAGGGTGTAATCCTGTAACTACACCGATCGATCAGAAGTTCAAACTGGATGCTGAGGCTGAAGAACCAGTTGATCGTGACAGATACCAGAGACTAGTAGGAGGTTGATCTATTTGAGTCACACACGTCCCGATATCTCTTTTGCAGTGAGCGTGGTGAGTCGCTATATGCATGATCCGACGAAGGGTCATATGGACGTAGTGTACCAGATTCTGAGGTATTTGAAGAGTGCCCCCGAAAAAGGGCTGATATTCAGGAAAAATGAACATATGAGCATTGAGGGTTACTGTGACTCGGATTGGACTAGCTGTGCTGATGACAGGAGGTCCACCTCAGGATACTGTATCTTTGTAAGAGGCAACTTGGTCTCGTGGAAGAGCAAGAAGCAGTCAGTGGTGGCGAGATCAACAGCTGAAGCAGAGTATAGAGCTATGGCCTTAGGAGTTGCGGAGTTATTATGGTTGAAGAGTATGCTGGTGGAGCTGAAGCTGGATCAAGGAGCAATGATGAAACTGTGGTGTGATAACAAGTCAGCCATCAGTATCATCAATAATCCAGTGCAGCATGATAAAACCAAACACATCGAGATCGATAGGTTCTTCATCAAAGAGAAGTTGGACAGTGGACTACTGGAGTTAAGTGATCGATAGGTTCTTCATCAAAGAGAAGTTGGACAGTGGACTACTGGAGTTAAGTCATGTTTCAACTAAAGACCAGGCAGCAGATTGTCTGACTAAGGGACTTAGCTCAGTAGATATGATTAAAGGATGTGACAAGATGGGCTTAGTGGATATCTTTCGTCCATCTTGAGGAGGAGTGTTGACATGTTAGTATAATTAAGGGGCTTATTTGTAAGATGTGTTTGTAGGGCCTATATAAGCCCATATTATTTCATCTATGGAATTAGGGTTTCATATATTTTCTACTATATATTTAAGCTAAATAACAGTTATTTAAGGTCTGACGTATAGTACTGTATTATACATGTAGTTTTTCAGTTAAGAGTATTTTGCATATCATGTCGGTCAGTTAGAGCATGTTTCTTATTGCAGATATTATCTGCTCTACTATCAGTTGACGGGATCGACATAAATGTTGTTAACAGAGCAGGTGAAACTGCTCTCAACATTGCTGAAAAGGCCTGCAATGAAGCGACCTCTTCCTTTCTAAGAGAAGCCGGTGCTCTTGCTTCAAAAGAACGTGCAAACCCTCCCAACACAGCAAAACAACTGAAGCAAACAGTCAGCGACATCCGCCACGAGGTCCAATTCCAGCTAGTCCAAACCCGACAAACAGAGAAGAGAGTCCAAAACATCAAGAAAAGACTCCACAAGCTCCACGTCAGTGGCCTCAACAACGCCATCAATTCTAGCACAGTCGTTGCAGTCCTCATAGCCACCATCGCCTTTGCTGCCATCTTCACTATGCCAGGGCAGTACATTGAGACCCCGACTGATGGTTACACCATTGGCGAAGCTAACATTGCCAACAAGCCGGCCTTCATCATCTTCCTGGTTTTTGATTCATCGGCATTGTTCATCTCGCTTGCAGTTGTTGTGGTTCAGACTTCTTTGATTGTGATCGAGCAGAAGGCGAAGAAGAGGATGGTGTTTGTGATTAACAAGCTCATGTGGTTGGCTTGCTTGTTTGTGTCCATATCTTTTGTCTCCCTCACCTATGTTGTTGTTGGCAAGCATAGCTGGTGGCTTGCTTGGTTTATGTTAGCCATTGGTGCTTCGATCATGCTGACGACTATTGGGTCTATGTTTTACTGCATTGTTGTTCATCGAATAGAGGAGAGAAGTCGTAGAGATATAAGGAGGCAATCCCTTAGACGTTCACGAGGCTGGTCAATATCATCAGCTTCAGACTCAGAGATACTGAATAGCGAGAAGAAGTTCGTCTGGTTGTGAATAGTGAGTACAAGATCTAAACAACCTTAGAGATTATATTGTATATTTGATGCTTTTATGGGATGCTTTTTAGTTGCAAGGAGATCGTTTGGTGGTTGGTATTCACAGAATTCATATCATGAAGTATCAAGCTTTGTTTGTGAGCTATCTCACAAACAAGGGTTAAAGGCATGATTGTTGCATTAGGATAAGTTTCCATTTTATTTGTGACATTTTTATGGGGTTCTCCTAAAACAGAATCCTCATTAACAAGTAAAATGAATATCCAAAGAAACAGTCAGACTTTATTATTCATAACAGAACAAAGGTTGTATTTGTTTGCAGATCCTTGTGCTCTTTGTGTGTCCAATTGCGATCATGTGGTTGTGGTCATTCAGGTGTGTGCTAGATATGCATGATTGATAACGTTTCCAGAAATTTTGTAGTTTACTACCTGTTTTTGCAATTTTATACTATTCAAGTTTGTTATATCAGAATGCTGAACCCTTTTTGCAATGTGCAAGAGATCTGGAAATTCCTCTCGCTTGCATAAGACGTAGCCTGTTCTCGACAAATTAATATTTCAGATAGAGGAGTGGACTCCAGTGTACTCAACTTCTTGTAAATAATTAATTAATAATCAGTCCATCAGTAATAAAATTGTAAACTCCTGATCTTTGTGTCTTGCTGAGTCAATCAATACTGAGGGTAATCACTCCATAAATGTTTGATTATACTATCATTTTTTTCGATAAACAGTCCCTGACCTCTGAGTCAAAAGACCCAAGCCATCATGTACAAAACAAAGGCCCATCGTCTGCAGTATTAGGAACTTACTAGTGTGCACCCCTGCAAGCACGGCCTTTATTTTTTTATTTCCGATACAGTAATTTCGTATTTAAATATAATTTTTTTAATTGTTAGAGTAACATTTTTTAAATGCTACAGTATCTCACCTGAGCTAATAATGATACAATAATGTTTTTAAACGCTACAGTTCCTGCTGTGCTACAGTAATAATAATTACAGTAATTATTGTAGCATGAATATTGAATCTTGGATCTTCCTGCCTGTGCTGCAGTAATAATGCTACGGTAAATTACTGTATGTTTAGCATGAATAGTGAATCTTGGATTCTCCCACTATTATAGAGGAATAGATATGCAAAAAATTGTAATTCCAATACCAAACAGTCTTTTTCCCTAAAAAATAATAAATTGCAGCTGCTGCTTTGATCTTTCATAGATCTTGTTGCCGGCAAAGTGAATTCTTCAGAGCTCAGAATTTTCTTCTCTCTCCCCACTGTAGCTTCTCATTTGTCCCTTCATAGTTCCACTTAATTTATTTATTTTAATGTGGAAATAGAAATTATGATTTGGGTCAATTGTTATTTATCAGATATTTGTTTGGTTCTCTAATTTGGGTTGTTGATGTTGACTGGTTTTTCTTGATAACTTGGAAGTGTTGGGTGTTCCATAATTTGGTAGTATCTATTTTATTAATTTATTTGATCAATGTTGGGATAGAATAAGATGATTTGCGTCAAAGGGACTCTCTCAATTCTTGTTGCTTTTTGTGATTTGGGCTCGTTGATGTTGATTTGTTTGTTCTAAGTGCCTTGGAAATACTGGGTGTCTGATAGTTTCGGATCTCTTCTTGCTGCCTTTTTATTTGTAAAAATCGATGCATAATAAGCTTGTTGGAATTCTTTTATGCTGATGTTTCAGAGAAAATGTGTGTTTTCAAGAGAAAATAAGCAAAAAACAAGGAAAGAGGACGAGAATTTGGTTGCACAAAACTATTAGTTGAATTCGATTGAAATCTTGCTCTAACCTTTAAAGAACAATTTTCTGAGATCATAGAGATTTCAAATATTTGTTAGTTTGTGGACATACATTACCCCTCCAACTTCATCATTCTTGTACTTCTCGGTCAGACCTTTGTTAACTATGATTCACTCTACATTACAGGTGTTTCATATGTTCCCTTATGTCTTTTATTGAATGAATATGTTTTCTCTATCCTGTTCGTTGTATTAGTAAACTGTTGCTAACGGTTCAGTAGGAGGGAATACCAGGGAATACCAAGATTATCAACTCGAAACCCTATGTTATATTTGTTGCTAACTATATTGGTTATTCTGGAAGGGATCCTCAACTTGATAACAATGCCGTAGTTCCTGTCATTCATAGAACCTGAAGTTTCACAATGAAAACTCCAGGAATAAATTAGAACACCTTGCTTGTGTACCTGCAGAAGTAAGAATTTGGAATTTCTCTATGACTGGACCCAAAATTCAATGGCCAAATATCCAGATACATTGTACTACTGGAGATTAAGCCTCCGTAAAGCTATATACAATAGGACTTACTAAAAAGTCACCAAAATTTTATTGATGATTTGGATGACAGTGTAGGTATATTCTGCAGTGATCCAGTAAATCACTTTTGGAGTGTATGCCCATAACCAAAATCAGCAGCATCTATATCCATCCACAAGCCGGAAGCATAAATGCTTACACTTAGATAATATCAAGATGACACAAAAAACAAAAAACATAATACTTCATAGAGGCAACACATTAGAGATGAGGACCCACAGGATACCTCTGCAGATACAGTCGATGTTCCTGAATTTTACCCAACATGCTAATGCAAACAACATAACAGTCAAAAGGTTTCCATATATTTTTTTTTCCTTTTTTAATTGCAGGATGATTATAAATAATAGGATGTTTGTGCTTCGTGCATGTTCTATTTCATTCTTTTTCTACTTTACTAGAGGGGATATCTATTCTTTGAAGGTTAGATATTTCTTAACTAACAATTTTGAATCAGAACCTTTCATGTGGTGTAAGGTTGTTTAATTGATGATTAACATTTTTTGTTTGTTTGTTTGTTTTTGTTTTTGGTTTTTTTGTTTTTGGTTTTTCTTGTGTGTTGGGAACTTAACATCATTATTTGAAGCTGAGTCTTGAACTGTGCTTTGATTTCTAAGTTAGACATTGCATATGTGTGTCTATTTTATAGGAGAGATGTATCTTTGATTTTTTCCCCCCTCTCCAGTTTAAGGCTTTGCATGGTATTGGTGATAGAAGGATTCATCTTGTTCCCCAATTTGCATAAATATTTTAAGAAGGCAACACCTGTATTTTGTGAATGGAGATTTAGTTTTTATGCATTAAGGAATGACACTGAGGTTGAAAGATTAATAGTTCAAACAGTTGTCATGAATTGAGGCGATTTTCCATAATTTTTCAATTTGACCTTAACTTACGTGATTGCTTTTGGCTGTTGCAACAGTTATCAAGACTGTTGAATTTTGCAAAAGCGAGACTTTCTCAAAGAAAGACAGTGTTCTACGAGCTTGTTGGCTGTCAATGGAGAGAACGGTTAGCTTTCAAATAGGGGTATTGGACAATGAAAAGCCTCTTCCGCCGAGTATGAACAATAAACAGCAAAGCACTAATGATGCGAAGATCATAAATAATTCGGTGAAACGGGGTGACGCGCCACTTCATTTAGCTGTTAGGATTGGCAATTTAGCAGGGGTTAAGGACATTCTGACAAATTTCTGGACCAGTGATTTGAAGGGTTCAGTTTGGAAGAGAAACAGCGATGGAGATACTGCACTCTTTATTGCTGCAGAAAACGGTCATGTTGAGATTGTTCATGAGATCTTGAAGGCTTCATGCTCGCAAGTAGCTGCTCCTAGTGTTGACAATAGCAGCGATGCATTTCATATTGCTGCTAAGTTGGGACATGCAGGTAATCTTTGGCTTCTCTTCTCTTCTTCAGTTTGGCATATTTTTCATTTAAAATTTCATTCCCTAATTTATTTTATACACAATGGATGATTTAGCTTGATAATTTTATATACAAGTGAAGGCTATAGAAAATAACTCCAGTCTAAGGCTGGGGGTTTGTTGGGGCCCCATCCTTTTTCTCAACCAAGAAAAGAAATGAAATGGAAATGGAAATGAAAAAACAAATTCTGTCTAAATATTTACCAAGATGCAAAAGTTATAGGCAAAACAATATTTGACAACGAAACCAAAAATCAAGGCTGACAACTATAAAAGATGAAATATGTTTTTTTATATGAATTTTTTTGATATTACTCCCTTAAAACTTTCAGTGTTTGAATTAAGTCCCTCAAATCATTGAAGTTACTATTAAGTCCTCCAATCTATGTAGCACGGACACGGATCCGACACGGCCATCCGACACGCCGACACGAGACAAATCCTAAAAAATACATAGGATACGTGTGTTCGACACGTGTGTCCGACACGGACACGACACGACACGGCTTCATGTTATGCGTGTCCGTGCTTCATAGCCTCCAATTATTAAGTTACTTTGAAATTTGGTCCCTCAAATAATTGAAATTGCTATTAGCTTCCACAATTCTCAAGTTATTTTGAAATTCGTCCCTCCAATCAGGAGTGGAAGAAAGTAGCGATTAGACGGTTGGATTTGAAACCCCTAATGAGAATTGAGAGGCCTAGTAGCAATTTCAATGATTTGAGGGGCTAAATTCACAAAATGAAAGACTTAAATCACTTAAGGGACTAATATCGAAAAAACCTTTTTATTTTTATTTAATAATATGTTTCAATTACTTCACAAATTGTAGCTTCATTTACATACACCATCTTATTTAATTGTTTAAACTTCTTGCAGAGGTGTTGAGAGAGTTACTTCATGCTGTCCCAGAACTGGTTAAGACTACAGACTCATCAAATGCTACAGCTCTATACACAGCAGCTGCTCAGGGCTATATAGATGCTGTTAAACTTCTACTCGACAAAGATGAGGGTGTTTGTTTAATCACAAGGAACAACGGTAAAACTCCCCTTCATATAGCTGCGAGGATGGGTCACTTGGAAGTATTGAGAGAACTTCTTGAAAAAGACCCTTCCCTTAGTCTGAAAACCGATAAAAAGGGCCAGACTGCACTTCACTTAGCAGTGAAAGGGCAAAACGCAACGGTCGTGAGAGAGTTGTGGAATAAAGTGCCTTCAGTTGTTCATGTAGTGGATAATAGAGGCAATACAGCATTGCATACGGCAACAAGGAAGGGGCGAATCCAGGTAAGTTATTTTTTTTGGTAGCTTAGTTCATGCTGTATCTTGCATCCTGTTTGAATCTTGATAATCTCATGGTGTTTTCTTATATGTTTTTTTATTACTACTAAAAAGTTTTGTTGTGTGGCCTCTCTGGGTAGTGGAAAGGCGGTAGGTTGCAATTTCTGTAATCTTGAGGGATGCTTCATAGGATAGTTATTTGTTAGTATATTTCTCAGTAATGTAAGGGTATAGCATCATCATCACTAGGACTTAAAGTACATTGCAGACACTGATGCAGAACAACTTAAGCACTAGTATTTTAACTAATCTTCTATTTGTCCTGCATCAGTGTCTACAGGAAACTCATACTTAAGATATTTCTCTAGAACTTTTCTTTTTCTTTTTCAGGTCTCATCTCAGAGAAGAGATAAGTGCTTCAGTTCGTTAAGTATCTCATTTCCTTTTAGTTATCCCCTTGATAGCTTGACATGTAGTTATTCACTTATTCACTAATTTCATGCTCACTTTAACTTCAAACGATTAAATTAGAAGCCTCAACTTGAAATACACGCCTATATTGGACGTTCAATTATGTATGGCCTTCTATATTTACCCCCAAAACTTACGGATTTTGTGGTTCTAGGCATTGCTCAAGCTCTTTAATAGGAGTTTGAGATGCAGCCTACATTTAATGTCGCTTTGACTATGTTTATTATTAGATAGAGCTCCAAGAGCATGAAGTCTTGTTTCTGTCCCTAGTTTTCATATGGGAACCTTGTATATTTTCACAAATTTACCACTTGTCACCAATCCTATCACATAACTTATCTAAGCTATTATTTTTGAACAATTCCAGATTGTAAGAACTGTACTATCCTTCCCCGAGATTGATGTCAAAGCCCTGAACAAAACCGGTGAAACTGCCCTAAATATTGCTGAAAAATATTTCAATGAAGAAATTGCCTCTATTTTGAGAGAAGCCAATAACAAAATAACAAATAACGAAGAAGTAAACGCTATCCCTCTGAACAGTTCAAACCATATTAAAAAAGCTGTAAGCTTCATCAAACATGGGGTTCGGTTCCAACTCAAGCGCTCCCAACGTACTCGAACAAAGGTGCAAGATCTGAAAAAGAAAGTGCAGAAGATGAAGTTTGAAGGCCTTAACAATGCTGTTAACTCTGTCAATGTGGTTGCCACACTTATTGCCACCGTTGCATTCGCTGCCATTTTTCAGGTAAAGATGGATACAGTCATACAGATATTTATAAATCTAGCCTTGTGTTTGTACATATTCATTATTCGAATAAAATTGAACTATTAACATACAAAATATTTTGCAACATCTATATTTAAGATAAATTCGTGGTAGGATAGTTTTTTCTGCTAGTACAATTACAACAACAAAAAAATGTGACGTATATACATATGTATGTGTGTGTGTTTGTCACCCAACCCTCTTTTTTATATACACGGGGAAAAGGGCTGGAGTGGCATGTCAGTACTTGGCTACTGCATGGCTGACATGGTACATTCTAGCGCGCCAGTCGTTTGATCATTAGACCATCAGCAGCAGAAGGGCAAATATTGCCCTCCACCTCAGCTTTTGTCCCCACCAATTCAATATTTGCTTCCCTCTTTTCTTTCAGCTCCACAGCAGAAAAGCAAATATGTACTTTTTACTTTATCTATACCCCACCATATTTTATCTTTCATCCACATCACTCTATCATATACCCCACCATATTTATTCATTTTATATTCATATTTATTTATTTGACATATGTTTTATAAATAATATATAGTTTTTAAAAATGGCATTAATTTTGCAATTAATAATATATAAATTTTTTTAAATGACATTAATTTAAATTAAAAATTACTTAAAAAACAACACAACACACGATATTATTAATCATCAAACCAACTTAACACACATAAATTATTGAAACGTACCAGAAAAAAAGGAATGAAAATTCTAAAAAGTTGTAGTTCATGGGAAAATTAAAGTTTTGTGAAGGATCCATGAAGGAGGATGAAGATTCTAAAAAGGAATGAAAATAGGGTGTAAAAATCTCAGATTTTTTTTGGTGTCCAAATGACACAAACTTAGGCTCTATTTATAGAGCTTGAAAAATGAAAAATATTGATATAAAAATTAAAAATTAATTTTAATTAATTATGGGCCAAAATAATAAATTACAAAATAGGAGGATAAGAAAATCAGGTGTTTGTAGGTGTGGGGCCCACAAAATAAGGAGGATGAAGATTTTTTTAAAATTTTGTTTGCAGGTGTGGGGCCCACAAAATCAGAATTGCCCATGGGCAAATTTTGCTCTCCATTTCCTTCTCTCTCCATTTGCTTTCCAATTTGCTCCACTGCTGCAACACATATTTTCACATTTGCTTCACTGCTGCACATGGTCTTATAATGCCCAGAACAAACTTGACGGCTTCGATTGTGCCATGTCGACTG